CTTTAGGCTGACCCTTAGGCTCTTACGCATTGGCCCTTAGGCACTTTTGGCTATCCCTTAGGCTCTTACGCATTGGCCCTTAAGCTCTTTAGGTTGTCCCTTAGGCTCTTACGCATTGGCCCTTAGGCTCTTTTTAGATTGGGTCGATGGGACCTCTAATATGGCTATAGTTTTCCCTCATTTTGGCTAAAAACCTTTGAAGTTTTGATTATGACTTAGCATGTTTTATGTTCGTCTGACTCTTCGATGGCTCACAAGAGAACATTGATTATGATTCGATATGTGACAATAGTTGGGTACCGTAGGAGGTTGCTCGAAGGATGAGTTTTCGAAGCCTTTTTATCTAAGGCTGATTGTTTTCGAAGCTTTTTTCTTATTCAGAGCTGATATTATCGAAGCTTCTTTGCTTATGCCGAGGGTAGCTTGATTAACTAGTTCTTTTTGATGTATTTTCAAAGTATTTGAAGGCCTTTAGTTTTATGGCGGAAATCGGACGTCTCCGAGCCGCGTTAATTCAGTCGTAGCCTTTATGTTTGGCCGTAGCCTTTAGTCCCCGGGTGCGGTGACCTCGGTGTCTATATCGAGGGTATGCCTTTTTAGGAGTCTTACAAGTTTGAATATATATCCTTGGCCTTAATATTGGGGTTATGCCTTTTTAATGTCTTATAGGCTTGGGCATGCCTCGTTTAGGTCTTACAGATTTGATGTTGCCTCACTGAGGGCTTACGAACTCGAAGTTGCATAATAGAGGTCTTATGAAAATTCAAGTTTTGATGGCTCAATGAGCTAACTGTCGATGATAGTCCCCGAGTGTTCAAGAGTTTTTGGTCCTTGAGTCATCTTATGAGAAAGTAGTGAACTTCTTCGAGGCACAAAGTGTTTTGATAAGCAAAGAGGCTTCTTTGATTAATTGATATATGTGTATATGTTCTTGCCTTCGGAGGCTCGATTGTTCTACATGGACACGGTTTATTCGACCATTTGGCCCAATACAATATTTTCCTATCGAGGTCCTCTTAGGCATAACTTAATTTTTTTCGAAAAGATAACCTCCGAGGGGGATGCCCTTAGTATTCAAGGCTGATCGAATATATTCCTTGAATACTTGATGAGTTCCCCTTGGGTAGCACATGGATATTTCATCGTTAAAAATTTTGCCAGTAAAACCCATTTGGAATTAAACCCGACCGAAGGGAAAAAGAGTACAACGCATGCTTTAAATCTCGAGGTCTTCGAGAGGAAGGGTGCATCAGCGTCTCCCATTGAACACCTGTAAGATATTAGTATAAGACATAAAGCGAAAAAGGAGAAGGTCATACTTTAGCAATAATAACATTTGCACATCGATATGTTCCAATTGCTTGGAAGTTGCTCGCTTTCCATGGTGCCAAGTTTGTAGGACCCTTTGCCTACTACTCCGAGGACGCAATACGGTCCTTCCTAGCTCGGGCCTAGCTTCCCTTCATTTGGGTTTTGAGTGCTGAGGGTGACTTTCCTTAGGACTACGTGCCCGACTCCGAAGTATCGGAGGTTTGTTCTACTGTTATAATATCTCTCGATCCTCTATTTTTGGGCAGCCAGACTAGTGCGGCCTTTCACTTTTCATCTAGTATCTCGAGGGCTGTAGTCATGGACTCGCTGTTTGAGTCCTCGGTGGCATGTTGAAATCTGGCACTTGGCTTTCCGACCTCGACCTATATCAAAGCCTCGGACCAGTATACTAAATAGAATGGTGTCTCTCCTGTGCTTGACATTGAAGTTGTTCGGTATGCCCATAGTACTTTGGGCAATACCTCTCTCCATTTTCCCTTCGCATTTTCTAACTTCTTTTTTAGGTTTTGGATGATGGTCTTGTTCGTGGACTCGGCCTGTCCATTTGCACATGGGTGATAGGGTGTTGATAGGATCCTTTTAATTTTATGATCTTCGAGGAATTTTGTCACCTTGCTGCCTATGAACTGCTTCCCATTATCACATGTAAGCTCGGAGGGGATCCTGGATTGGCATATGTTGTGGTCCCAAATAAAGTCAATGACTGCTTTTTCCATTATCTTCTCTAAGGCCTGTGCTTCCACCCATTTCGAGAAATAGTCAGTCATAAACAGAATAAATCTAGCTTTACCTGGCACCGTTGGTAAGGGGTCTACGATGTCCATCCCCCATTTTATGAACGACCATGGTGATAAGACTGAATGTAGCTGTTCACCAGGTTGGTAATCATTGGTGCGAACCTTTGGCATTTGTCACACCTTCGAACAAATTCTTTGGTGTCCTTCTCCATGCTATTTCAATACTAGCCTGCTTTGATCACCTTTTGAACCAAAGAATCGGTGCTGGAATGATTTCCATAAGTGCCCTCATGGATTTCCTGAAGTACATAATCGGTGTCCCCGATCCCAAGCATACTGCTAGAGGTCCATCGAAGGTCTTTCTATATAGTGTTCCATTTTCGTCAAGTAAAAATCGAGCTGCTTTGGCTCAAAGGGCACTCGATTCTTTTGGGTCTATGGGCAGCTTCCCGTTTCTCAAATAGTCGATGTATTTATTCCTCTAATCCCATGTTAGACTTGTTGAGTTGACCTCGGTGTGTCCTTCTTCAATCGCCGACTTGGATAACTGTATAACAACTCCTTGGAGTATGCCATCTTCTTCAATGGACGACCCTAGGTTTGCGAGTGCATCAGTTTCACTGTTCTGATCTCAAGGAATGTGGACCAAAGTCTATTATTTGAAGCAATGCAGTATGATCTGAAGTTTGTTTAAGTATCTTTGCATCCTGTCTTCTCGAACCTCGAAGCTCCCATTTACTTGGTTGACTACTAGAAGGGAGTCACATTTTGCTTCAATGACTTCTGCTCCTAGGCTCTTTGCCATATCGAGACCTACAATCATAGCCTCATTCTCGGCCTCATTGTTAGTAAACTTCAAAGTTTTTATAGATTTCGTAATCATGCCACCCGTCGGCAGTTTCAGAACAATGCCGAGCCCGGGCCCTTTCACATTCAAGGAACCGTCGGTGAATAGGGTCCATACCCTCGATGATGTGCCCATTTTTAGCAAGAGTTCTTTCTCTACCTTGGGCACAAGGGCAGGCATAAAGTCGGCCACGAAGTCCGCCCAAATTTGGGACTTGATAGCCGTCTTGGATTGATACTCGACATCATACCCGCCGAGCTCGATGGCCCATTTGGCCAATCTGCCGGATAATTCAGGTTTGTGCAAGATGTTTTGAAGAGGGTACGTTGTTAAAACACATATATGATGGCATTGAAAATAAGGTTTTAATTTCCGAGATGCACTTGTTAAAGAAAAAGCTAATTTTTCTAAGCGTGGATACATGGTTTTAACATCTCCTATAGACCAACTTATGTAATAAATAGGGAATTACGTACCTTGTTCTTCTCGAACTAACACACCACTTATCGCTACTCTGGATACGGCCAGATACAAGTATAACATTTTATCTTCCTTCGGGGTGTGGAGCAAAGGCGGGGTCGAAAGATATCACTTTAATTCCTCTAAAACATGTTGGCATTCTAGAGTCCGCTCAAAGCTGTTTTTCTTCTTGAACAGGGAGAACAAATGATGACTCTGATCTGACGATATCGAGATGAATCGGCCTAAGGCACCTTTCCGCCCTGTCAACCACTATACGACCTTCACATTGTTCACCACTGTAATTTCTTCGATGGCCTTGATTTTGTCGGGATTGATCTTGATCCCCTTATTCAACACCATGAAGCCTAAATATTTACCCGATCCTACTCCTAAGGCACATTTCTCATGGTTGAGCTTCATATTGTAGCTTTTAAGGATGTGGAATGTTTTCTGCAAATGAGTCAAATGGTCCTCTGTGCGCAGGGAATTAACTAGCATGTCATCAATGTAAACTTTCATAGATTGGCCTATTTGATGTTCAAATATCTTAGTAACTAGCCATTAGTACGTAGCTCTTGCGTTTTTAGCCCGAAGGGCATTACATTATAACAGTATGTACCATACTTCATGATGAATGAAGTTTTTTCCCTCTCCTCTAGGTTCATTTGAATTTGATTATACCCGGAGTAGGCATCGTGAAAAGTGAGGATCTCGTGGCCGGCTATGGCATCGATCAAGCGATCGATGTTGGGCAATGGGAATGAGTCTTTGGGACATCCTTTATTCAAGTCTTTATAATCTACGCACATTCTTAATTTATTTCCTTTTTTTGGGAACCACTACTACATTAGACAACCATTCTGGGTATTTTACCTCCTTAATTGATCTGTTTTTGAGGAGTTTTGTTACCCCGTCTTTGATGAACGCATGTTTTACCTCAGACCGTGGCCTCCTTTTTGCTTTACTAGTTTGAACCTGGGGTCGACACTTAGTCTATGGGTGGTTATTTCCGGTGGGATCCCTGTCATGTCTAAATGGGACCAAGCAAAACAATAAATATTGTTAATAAGAAATTGGATGAGTTTTTTCCTGAGTTCGGGGGTTAATCCCATTCTCAGGTATACCTTTTGATCTGGAAGATGCTATATCAAGACGACTTGCTCGAGTTCTTTGACTGTTGATTTTGTTACATCAGACTCTTTGGGGGAAACGAAGGTCCGAGGATTGAGGAAGTCTTCTTCGTCATCTTCGTTCGAATGCTCGCAGACCACCTGTTCCTCAGGGGTCAGCCCGTTTCCTGACTCATCCTTGATGGGGAGAGTCGATGTTGATGACATGTTGTTTACCGCGAACATCTCCTTTGTTGCATGTTGTTCTCCGTACACCGTTTTTATACCATCTTTTGTTGGGAACTTCATTATCTGATGAAGAGTTGATGGTACCGCCCTTATGTTGTGTATCCACGGCCTTCCAAGTAAGGCATTGTACCTCATGTCACCTTTGATGACATGAAACTTGGTGTCTTGAACTGTACCAGACACGTTGACTGGGAGGATGATTTCTCCCTTCGTTGTCTCACTTGCCATGTTGAATCCATTGAAGACTCTAGAGGTGGGTATGATCTAATCGAGCAGTCCGAGCTGCTCCACCACCTTTGACCTGATTATGCTGGCCGAGTTACCTGGATCCACGAGCACACGTCTAATTTGAACGTTATTAAAAAGAAAAATAATTACCAGTGCATCATTATGTGGTTGGGACAAGGTCCCGATGTCTTCTTCTCTAAATGTAAGGGCGTCTTCGGGGAAGTATCTTCGAGTTTGCATTTCTATTGCAATGGACACTTTGGCCCATTTGGACATGGGTCCATGTGGGACATTAGTTCCTCCAACGATCATATGGATGATGTGCTGAGGTTCTCCCGGCCCATTCATTCCGTTCGTATATCTTTCTCGAAAGTGGTTCTTGGCTAGATTGCTGAGGAATTCTCGAAGGTGCCCTTCGTTGATCAGTCGGGACACCTCCTCTCGGAGTTGCCTAAAATCCTCGGTCCTATGACCGTGAATGCCATGGTATTCACACATGAATTTGGGGTTCTTTCGGGAAGGATCTGACTGTGCAGGCTTTAGCCATCTGGTATCCGTGATTCTACCCATAGCTGATACGATGTTTGAGACTTCGATGTTGAAGTTGTATTTTGATGATCGGTGTGCCTCCATTGGCCTCGAATGCCTATCAAACTCGGTCTTGCTCATAAGTCCCCTAGAATTTTGGCCTCGATCTACTCTTCGATCATTTCGAGGTATATTCTACCTCGAAGTGTCTCTTCAATCTTTGAAGTATGGCTGATACCTTTTTTTGCCTAATCTCGCCTCCTTTTCTGTAGACCTTGGTTCCTTTGCTAGGAGCCTGTTTGGATATACAAAGCCAGAGGGGGCTCCAAATTGGTCGTCTTCGCCCTTGATCTTTGATTGATACCTGTTGTGCACATCTGCCCATGTCACAGCGGGATATTCGATCAAATTTTGTTTTAGCTGCTTCGAAGCTATCGAGCTTCGTTCGTTCAAGCCCTGAGTGAAGTCATGCACTACCCAATCATCAGAGACCGATGGTAATTCCATTCGCTTCATCTAGAAGCGAGATATATTTTCCCTCAGTATCTCGTTCTCCCTTTGTTTGATCTTGAAGACGTCGGAATTCCTTGTATCAACCTTGATGGCACCGGCATGTGCCTTCACAAAAGAATATTCCAACATGGAAACGAATCTATCGAGTTTGGGTGTAGGTTGTGATACCACATCTCGTCATCCTTTAAGTCATTCCCTTTTGCAGCACAAGTATAAGCGGTAATGTGCTCATTGGTGTTCGTGGTCCCATTATACTTCGGGACATCGGGCATTATGAATTTCTTTAGGATGGGTTTCAAAGCTACACTTGATTGGAATGGTTTCTGCACGAACTTCTTTTAATCTATACCATTCAGAATCGGGGGTGCGCCTAGGATTTGATCGACCCTCGAGTTATAAGTCTCCACCTTTTTATCGTTAGACTCTATCATCTTTTCTCCCGAATCGATACTTTTAGTCAATTCCTAGAGCATTTTCATGATTGTGGGGTCAGTCCCTGAGCCGCTTTCATCGAGCCTTTCTAGCAATGGTTCATGGATCATGTTTACTGGTTCGGCAGTGTTAGGGGTTTTGTTTTGACTTTGAAGTTGAGCTATGGCGACTTGATGAGCTTGCAACATTTTGAATATTACTTGGAGGATGACTCCCCCTTCTTCCATTCCCCGTGCTTCTTGGCCTCCAGCCTCGGCTTCCCTGCGTCCATTCCTTATGGGGTCTGCACCTACTTGTGAGTTTAGAGCGTTGTGGGAGCTGATATCAACTGGCTCCACATTTGGAACTCCCTCAGGGTTTACAGGCGGTACATTGAGCCCTATGCTGCTGTTTTCTCCAAGTCCCTCACTGTCATGAAGAGGTGCATTTTGTGTGCTAGACATGATTAAGCCTGAAATCAAAGAATCTTTGACAAGAAAAAGTGTGAAGAGTAATGTGTGTTATCAGAAAATTAGCACAAAAACAATCACTATTATTTTTAGCCCTATAGTATGCGCCAAACTGTTTACCTTGAAAATAGTATTTACAATTATATCTGATTTTTGGTTCTAAAAATACATGATTTGTCTTAATACTAGTTGTTATGTGAATAATGCTAAGTGTAAATGAGCAAGAAGTGATAAGCAAACCATATGGTCACAAAACTAAGGGCCTCGAGCTCAGCGATATAGGACCTCGAGGGTAGCCTTTAACGGATGATAATGAACAACAAATGAAGAACAATGAATGCACAAGCAATAAATGAAGAACAATAAATGAACACAACAAATGAGGTGCAATAAACTGTAATGTTCCATTGTATTCAATATTCATGTGTGTTGCGAAGTAAAAGAAAAGTCCCGCTACAAGAATGTTTGGGTCCCCTTTATATAGGAGGGGTGAATCCCAACACAATACAAGTCTAATCATGATAGAGAAATGCTATTGGTACAATTGTGTAACAGACTTGTACGGCTCTGTACTATCTTTACAGACCTTATCAGCTCTAACCACATATCCTTGGTAGTTTTCCTGCCTTTCCATAACGGTCATCAATTTTATACTGCCTCGAGGTAGGCCGTGATGAGCCTTTGACATGCTTTCTCAAAGCATGCATTTCGGGGTAGAACTTCAGTATTTACTCCGAGCCCCTCAAGATCGGGCCTGACATGCCATAAAGGCCCTGATATTGGGGCCCCCGGTATTGACCGCACACACTCTCTACTCTCCCCTTAGCTTTAGACTTCCTGTATTTACTTTTGAAATATTCTAGAGTTAGAACACTATGTAGTTTTCTATAGCTTGTGATCTTATGAGATTTCGGGTTTTGGGAGTTTGATTCAGTTTTGAGAGATGTATTGTATATACCGGGAGGCATTTTAAACTTTTTAATTAAGTTTTATCCAGAACTTGCTAGTTTCATATTTCATTTCCCTTTTCCGCAATTTGTTAGGCTTACCTAGTCGTAGAGACTATGTGTCGTAACGACAGTTCACGGAGGGAGAACTTGGGTCGTGATAAGTTGGTATCAGAGCTCTAGGTTCATAGGAGTCATGAATCACAAGACGGTTTATTAGTGTCTCGCGGATCGGTACAGAGACATTTGTACTTATATACGAGAGGCTATGTAACTGTTAGGAAAATTCCACTTTATATGTTTTCCTTGTCGTGCGAGATTTTTGATATGAAAAATCTAAACCTCTATCTTCTACTCTTTAATAGATGGTGAGGACACGTGCTACCGGAGATTACCACGCACCTGCGCCCCTACTAGAGCCACCAAAGGTCGGGGCCGGGGTAGAGGACAAGGATGCGCATGTGGTGTAGCCAGAGCACCTGCGCGAGCTACCACCGAGGAGCCACCAGCAGCTCCAGCCAAAGCCCAAACACTTGATATGCGTACTGCTACAACTATTCTAGCTCTTCAGGAGACTCTTGCACAGTTTGTGAGAATGTACACACTCTAGCTCGGGCAGGGTTGATTCCCCTTGCTGCAGCCACATCCCAGGATGGGAGAGGAGCATAGACTCCTGTCGCCCGCACACTAGAGCAGCGGGTCCAGGTTGATCAGATCCCAAAGGTTATATCGGTACCGCCTATAGCCCCAGTTCAGCCCGAGGAAAGGGCGACAACTTTAGAGGATGAGCAGTGGAGGCTTGAGAGGTTCAAGAAGTACAAGCCTCCTATATTTAGTGGTCTAGCATCAAATGATGCTCTGGGATTTCTGGAGGAGTGATACCGTATCTTCCGCACTATGGGTATATCATGATCGAGTGAGGTTTCTTTCACTGCCTTCAAACTTCGAGGAGCAGCCTATCAGTGGTGGCATACTTTTGAGTTGGACAGTCTAGCTGAGGCAACTTACCTTACAAGGACCCAGTTTTCAGATATGCTTTTGAGGGAGTATGTTCCTTAGAGCCTCAAGGATGCATGGCACACAGAGTTTGAGCATTTGTGCTAGGGTACTATGACTGTTTCGTAGTATGCTGTCTGTTTCACTGACTTGGCTAGGCATGCACCGGCCTTGGTTTCTACAGTTCGTGAGAGAGTTTGTTGGTTTATCGAGGGGCTTATTCCTAGCATCAGGTCTAGCATGGCCTGGGAGTTGGAGATTGGTATTTCTTATCAGCATGTGGTGAGCATTGCTAGGAGAGTAGAGGGTATGCATGCTCGGGATATAGAGGTGAGGGAGGCCAAGAGGTCTCGGGAGTCGGGCCATTATTCTAGTGCCCTTGTCCCAGTTGCAGTTCGTCATGGTAGCGGTTATATGAGTCACCCCGTTCATTCAGCTCTTCAAGCAGCCAGTGGTATTCTAACTCCTCCTAGACCTCAAGAGCCCTATTATGCACCTCCAGTAGCTAGTGCGCCTCCTACACGAGGTGCTTTTAGTGGTGTTACATCTCGCGTTTTCGTATATTAAAAGTTTCGTCTTCAGTTAATTGATGTAGACTCAGGGATGAGATCATCTTGACATTAACGTATTTACGCTATTTAAAACAAGCGATAAATAAATGCTATGAAGGATAAAGGGGTACACGAATTAAAGAAAACGAGTTTCGTTGAAAGTGGCCAACTTAGGATAAAATACGGGTCGAGCGATAATACCCGATAATTATGAACTAGTACCATGCAAGGTACCGTATGACCATAATAGTATAATATATAAAACATATAAAAAATAATAAGTAGAATTTTAAGTAATTTGGGGCAATTTTTAAATTATGCGGATAACTGGTTAATTACCGGGTAACGGGACATTACCCAGTTAACTAATAAATGGGTAAAGATTAATAATCTTCACCCCACTCTCCACATGGTAGTAGTCCACTATTCAAGCATATGACTCATAGTCATATATGCTTAGTATGCCAAAGTAACGTGTAAATCATTAAATGACTCATAAGAATTGAGTCATTTTAAAATGCTTGATTAACTTAAAGAGTTTGGTTCTTTTTGGACAAAAAAATAGTAGTATGTCCAAGTCTTGTACATAGGCCATTGTTATTCAAAACAATTGAAGCAGAAGCAAGATTTAGTTTAAAAAGAAATCTTCATAGATCAGAAGAAATATTTCGTTCAAAAATTCAAAGAAGTAGAAGCTTAGTTTCGTTCAAAGTATTTCAGCATAATTCCATCAAAATTTTGCGGTTACAAAATAGTAGGGTGCAATCTCCAAGAATATTATATGGAGTTTTCCTTAATCTAGGTATGTTTAGGCCATCCTTTATTTCTTTTGGCATGGTCCAAATTATGCAGAAGAAATGAGCAAACGCACAATTTCCATAAATTACTCTATCAATAGAAATAGTAGGAGTGTCTATATTCTTGATTCCCCATGAGAATTATTATTATCTTCTATTCATGGGTCTCAGAATAATACGCAGTTGGAAAAGTTTATCCAGAAGGAATATTGAGATTATTAGATATTTTTCATGTATTTCACTCATTAATACATGTGCATTGACCCATGACCAGATGGCGTTATATACGCGTATATATGTAAATATATGTATATATGATATGGGAAAAGGTTACGACATTATATACGCACCACCACCTGATCAGCTGGTATATGTTGATGATATTGCCCACAATGGCCAAAACGATATGATGGGATGCCCTCAGTGGCTTGACAATATTATGTACACCCATACCTA